GCGTGCTGGGGGGTGGTCGTGCTGGGGCGTGGTCGTGCTGGGGCGTGGTCGTGCTGGGGCGTGGTCGTGCTGGGGTGTGGTCGTGCTGTGGTGAGGTCGTGCTGGGGTGTGGTCGTGCTGGGGTGTGGTCTTGCTGGGGTAGGGTCGTGCTGGGGTCGGGTCGTGCTGGGGTGTGGTCGTGCTGGGGTATGGTCGTGCTGGGGTGGGGTCGTGCTGGGGTGGGGTCGTGCTGGGGTCTGGTCGTGCTGGGGTGTGGTCGTGCTGGGGTATGGTCGTGCTAGGGTGGGGTCGTGCATTTCGCTCGAGACATCCTGCCAAAATTCCAGGAAATCGTACAAAAACAAAGGAATTAGTCGAGACATCATCGAAATTCCTTCGCGCGGGGCGCTTTTCCGCGTCGCGGTCGGCTCTGCAAAACAAGCGTTTCGCTCGAGACATCCTCGGCAAACTCTGCGGAGCAAGCGTTTCGCTCGAGACATCCTCAACACACGAAAAAGTGGCCCGCACCCTGTGATTTATCGATCGGGATTTCAAAAACAAGCGTTTCGCTCGAGACATCCTCAAATTTTAATTCGCCGGCCTCCTTCGACCTCGTTATTTATCAGGGAAAAAATTCGCCGGCCTCCTTCAAGTTGGCACCGGGGGACAGGTTTACCCACTAAAAGAGAACCCTGGGCTCATGCCCTTTCCGGGAACATATTGGATTTGCAACATTTCTGAAATTCGGTGCCACCCCTCACGCAGATCCGCGGGGTCAGGGTCTAAATGCAAGGGATGTGCCCCATTTCTGAAATTCGGTGCCACCCCTCTCGGAGATCCGCGGGGCCAGGGTCAACAAACACATGGGATTTGCCACATTTCTGAAATTCGGTGCCACTCCTCACGCAGATCCGCGGGGTCAGGGTCCAAAAACACATGGGGTTTGCCACATTTCTGAAATTCGGCGCCACCCCTTACGCAGATCCGCGGGGTCAGGGTCCAAAAACACAGGGGATTTGCCACATTTCTGAAATTCGGTGCCACCCTTCACGCACATCCATCGCAAGGCGTGGTAACCCAAACTGCGAGAACTCCCTCGGCCCTTTAATCGCAAGGTGTGGTAACCAAGCCCGTAAACCATACACGTCTTACCAATCGCCAGGTGTGGTAACCCCTCTTGTGATCAGTTGGTTTTGCTGATTGCGAATCGGCTTCGCATGAAGTTTCGATACTGCTTCACGACAGCGCCAAGGCCTCATGACTTAGCTCTTCCATGGCCCATTCTCCGAGAGAGGGGGCCGGCGGCAGGGGGCGAAGCCCTTGCGGATATTGATGGAGTGACCGATCGGAATGACTTGCCAATCTGAGCGTGTGCATCATTCAGGGGATGCTGGATATGGCGTGGAAAGAATGCAGCAGCACCTTTCCGTTTGATGCCAAACACCTATCCCCAGCTTTTGTAGAGTGGCTTCCGGACCCTTCCAACGCCGAAGTGGGAGTGCCCCGCGACGTCGCCAAGACGATGCCGAGACGCCAGGGCGAACGTGCGCGCGTACGAGGTAAAGTATGACGAGACCCAACGTCGATGCCAAGACGACCCAATCTAGATAATGTTGGATGCACCTGGCACGTAAGCACGAGGATTGCATCACCATGGTTGAGGATGCGCGCGAGCACGCATTGGAGGCCTCATTTGTTTCTTGTTCTTGGGCGCTGGAGGGCTTGGACTACTCGCTGCGCTGCTCTCCAGACCGAGGCAAAGGCGTCGGTTGGCGAGCTCAGATCTTTGGGGGGTTTCAGGGACTGGGCGACAGCAGTTCGCCCGGCTATGGCAGCTTCAGAGCACCATTGCCCCTGAGGACGACCGAGCTCTTGGACTACCACCCCAAAGATGCGCAGGGCCCGGGAGAAGTTCACGAGGCCCACCGCGGGGAAGTGAGCCAGGATAGCGGGGCGATTTGGGGCGCGGCGCTCGCTGGCGCCAGCGGCTTGAGAGGGGCGGCGGCGCGCGTCTTGAGAAACGAGATCACGCGCGCCACGGGCGTCGTCGACGCCGAGACATTGGCGGCCGCCCGGGGCCGCCCGCCGCCTTTACTACGCACTGGATCCTCTCATGGCTATCTACGCCAGCCGCCGCTCATGGTTCCCACCGTGCGCGCTGGGGCCAGGGTGGCACCGTCGCATGTTCCCGAAGGCTCCTCCGACAATCTCGATGCCATGGATTTCAGATGTTGGTCGGGCGCTCGCCGGTCGCGGGCCCCGGGGGCGCGGGCATTTCGGCCCGCGCCGCCGCGTGCCAGATCCCGCGCGGGATGCGCTGCCAGGTGCGCGCAGAGATGCCCCGGGCTTGGTTCAACGACGCAGAGCTGAACTCGACGGGCAGCAGACTGGCCACTGGCCGCCCCGGCGATTGCCAGCCATCGAAGCCATCGTGGAGCGCGACAGGTGTTTCGCCGAGCAGGGCTGGGAGATGGCGGACACAGACAGTCGTCGTCAGATCGCGACGCGCAATGTCGAGAAGGGGGCCCAGGACCTCCTGGGAGCCGCGGTCGATGCCGCGCGCGCGGCGCGAAGAGTTGACCGCGCAGGTCAAGCCGCGCGAGCCCGCCCGACGCACTCCAACGAAAGAAGTCCGCCGGTTAGAGGGCGGGCGATCAAAACCAAGCTTCGCAGACTGACTACGCGGGCGGCGCCGTCGAGATCTGGCGGCGCAGGGGCCCGCGGCTTCCTCCCGCTACGACGCGAAGTTCCACGGATTGCCCTCCGCAGCTGCGCGGCAGCGGAGACCTGCCGCCGGGGCTCTGGACGATCATTCGCCGGGCAGATGCTTGTAGACAAGCCTGGACATCGAGCGGGCAGGCCCCGCCGCCGGCGCCCTCGAAGGCCCGTTCGCGACATGGGTCGAGACGCGGGGCCAAAGACTTGACCGAGCGATGGGGCCCGCCGCGCCTGGCCCAACATCCACCAGCTCCCCGCAGGCGCTCCGCGCGACCGCTGGAAGCAGGCGGGGGCTCTCATCGGCAGCCTCATTTTGGCGCTGAGGGGCGTCCGATGCGACCCGCGCTTGCCTCGCCGGTGGCTCGGCCCTGGCGGCGACGAGCTGCAGATAGGCGAGGGCGAGGGCGATCGCAGGAGATCCATCAGATATCACCCATGCATTAATGGGGGGGCCAGCAACCCATGCTGTGGCAACAGGCATCCCAACTCTAGCAGGGAGCCGGCATGGGCGGCGGAGTCGACGCCGCAGATTTGAAAATACATGCACGCCAGCTGAGGAAATAAGGCGATCACAGAGAAACAGGAAACTTGCACGCGGCACCCGGTGCCGCCATGTGGCCCCCTGCTCGGAGACTTGTTTTGGGACGAAGCGAATGAGGCACGCGTGCGTGGTGAAGGCGCGGGCGATCGCCATCGCATCTGGGTGAATTGCTCACGGTGCCAAGATCATAAGGACTACGCCGTCAGTGAAGCTCCGCGCGTAGGCGCCGCTGAAGGAGCCATAATTGCGCCCTGCTTTTCGTTTCGCGGGCTTTGCCCGGGGGCTGGGTTCATCCTACCAGCATGCGCGACCGCAAACAGACCAGCGAGCACCAGCGAGTTGGAGAACATCGACCGCATCACCACGCCCGACGGCCACGCAGTCGTCAGCACAGGCTGCAGCGGAGGGGCCCAATCCAGCGACCGACGTTATCGCAGATGTGGTTCTGCTTCGCCATTATCGACTCTTTGAACGACCAAAGAGACCTTCGCACAGTCCAACCGGGACCCCTTTACCAGGGCGCAGGCAAAAGAGCAGCCGTGCAGAATCATGGGCCATCTTTCAAGCGTTGACGGCAGCTGGAGGTGAGCTCATCATGTGTACATATTCGGAAATGGCGATCCATGGCTGGCAGAACGGACATCATCCCAAACTTGGGCAAAAGAGGGAAATTGTCGACACTTGGGACCAGCTTTCAGACGCCATGGGAGATCGTTGGCCACTTGAGCAGAACCAAGATGACATTTTGCGCTTGTACCACATCAACAATCGTATGAGTGCAGAGGAGGCGATTGCTCGAGCAGTGTGCCAACAGGTGTGGTTGGGCAATTTGCTGACTGACGAACTGGTTCGCTCCGCGGCGATTGCCCACGACATCCCCAAGACGCAGATGAAGTGCTTCAAGTGCATAAGCGCTGCGCAAGCGTTGGTGTAGAGGAGGACCATCCGCCCCCACACCGACGCCATCGAGATAGAAAGCCAGGCAATCGTCGGAGAGGGAGCCCGAGAAACGAGTCAGAGAAAGCAAGCTACTAGTGAAATGAGTGCGTCCTTCACTTCTAGCTTCCACAACTTCCGCACTACAATCAGAGGGACCGTTCCATACATATAGGTAATAGTTCACTTCGCTCCTCACACACTACGCACTTCACCGGCACCTCAGCCTCTGGTGGTGCACTAGATGCGGTCGTCGTGCTAAAGCTACGGACGGGGGAATTACCAAGAGGCTTTCTGACGATTGCGACCCCCCAACAAACAGTCGGCGTGTGATTGCATGACCTTTTCAGGTCAGATCCCTGTCGCATCAAGCCTCTGGAGGCCTCGGGGCCCATGTGGTTTCATCGCTGTCTCGTCGTGCGATCCCTGGCTTCGTCGTGGCTGAATTTTCCAGAATTCGTTTTTTCCTCCTCCTCCTCCTCCTCCTCCTCCTCCTCCTCCTCCTCCTCCCTCCCTCCTCCTCCTCCTCCTCCTCCTCCTCCCTCTCCTCATACCTCATCATCTCCTCTCCTCCTCCTCCTCCCTTCTTCCCTCCTCCTCCTCTCTCCTCCTCTCCCTCCTCCTCCTCCTCCATCCTCCTCCCCCTCCTCCTCCTTCCTCTCTTCATCATCCTCCTCCTCCTCTCTCCTCGTCTCCCTGCCTCTCCTCCTCCTCCTCCTCTCCTCTCTCCTCACCTCCTCCTCCTTCCTCTCTATCCTCCTCCTACTCTCCTCCTCCTCCTCCTCCTCCTCCTCCTCCTCCTCCTCCTCCTCCTGCCCCCCCCGAGGAAACGGGTGTCCCTGGACGAGGCCGCGCCCGCGGCGCCCCCCAATTCTCCGCCTGGCCCGGACGCCGCGGCCGGGCTCCGCACGCCCGGCGCGGACTCCTCCGCTGGCCCCGCCCCGGGCGCCGCCGCCACCCCCCATCAGAGGAGGAAAAGGGACCCCTTAGTTCGATGCTCGTTTTGGGGACCTTTCTGGGGCCTACATAAGGGATCTGTTCGACTCAAGTTCGACTCCAGTTCGACTCAACTTCGACTCAACTTCGACTCAGGTTCGACCCAGGTTCGACTCAAGTTCGACTCAGGTTCGACGCGGGTCGACGGACGTCCGATGCAGCTTCGACGAACGAGTGGAGCGAGTGGCTCCAAGAAGGTCCCCAGAACGAGCGTCTAACGTTAGAGACTGTTTTTTGCTTAGGGTCTGGCGATAGCCCGGGTCATCGGGCTTTGCCCCCCCTCCCCCCCCCAGGATCACCGAACCTTGTCGGTTGTGAAGGTCCGGGGTGGGGGGGCGCGGGCATATGCAGGGCTGCCCACAGCGCGAAGGTTGAGTTATCGGCCGGCCCCCTCCTCCTCCCCCCCCCGGGATAACCTGGGTTAACCATCGCCGGTTCAACAAAAATCGGTCTCTTGCCTCTGCCTCGTTCTCGCCTCCTGGGGGGCCTCCTGGGAGGCCCTCGTCGCCGCCGCTGGATTCGCCACGAAGTCCTTCGGTCCGAGCGCACCCCGGGAGAGGTCCGTGGAGCCTCGGTATCGGCACCCCCTGGGTTCCCCACTGGGATCGATTGGTCGCTTGGTATTTGGTTGGCTTGGGTATAATAAGTTTTAAAGGCGTTGGGTCGGTTACCTAACCTACTTATGAAGCGCGTTATCGGGGAGCAGCTTCTGCTGTTTCTAACGTAGTTTTATCCATTATGGCCGAACCGCCTAAACTGTTTATCAGAGTTTCAGTAATCAGGACAGGCGGCGGCTTAACCTGGTTATATGTTCTTGCCAAGCGCTGCAAGCGCCGACAAACAGCGCGGATTTGTTTTGCAATCGGCGTGTTTTTTTGTTTTTTGGTTTGGTGGCGATTTGTTTTTGGCGATGCATAATTGTACATGTTCTTGCTATTCATCGCTTTCGGATAGCATGCAGAACAAATGCGCGCGCATATAAAACGTTTTGCTTTCCATGTATGCGTTCACGCGCACTTGCACGGCCTTATGGTCTGAGGGCATGATGGTCTCAGGGTCTTATGGCCTTAGGGCCTTATGGCCGTAAGGTATTAGAGCCTTAGGGTCTTATAAGGCCTTTTACGGTCATATGGTCTTATGGGGCATTTGCGTCTTAGGGTCGTCGGGCCTTAGGGCGTTAGGGCCGTATGGTCTCACGGTATTATGGCATTAAGGTCTTAGGGTATTCGGTAGGGCCTCAGGGTCTTAGGATCTTAGGCTTTTAGGGCCTTAGGGTCTTAGGGCGTTAGGGCGTTAGGGCAGTCGTGCCTTAGGGCCCTATGGTCTCAGGGCCTCCTACATGGTCTGATGGTCTCGGGGCCTTCGGGCCCTAGGGCCTTATGGCCTTAGGGTCTTTGGACCTTGGGGTACTAGGGTCTACAGGGCCGTAGGGTATTAGTGTCATATTGTATTACTGCCCTAAGGCCTTAGTGTCTTATGGTCGTAGTTTCTTAGGGTCATAGGGTATTCGGGCCTCAGGGTCTCAGGGTCTCAGGGTATAGGGCCTTATAAGACCGTTGGACATTAAGGCATTAGGGCCGTTCGGATCTTAGGGTCTCAAGGTCTGATGGACTTACTGCATTAACGTCTTAGGGTGTTACGGTCTTAGGTCGGGTCTTTGCGATGCATTGGCTTAGGATCTTAGGGTCTTCAGGCCATTGGGTCTCAGGGTCTCAGGGTCCTATAGGGTCTTAGGGTATCAGGGCCTTTGGGTATTAGGGTCTAAGGGCCTCAGGGCCTTGGGGCATTCGGGCCGTATACGGCCTTAAGGTATTAGGGTATTAAGGCCTTGGGGTATTAGGGTATAGTGGCTTAGTGCATTATGGTATTAGGGTCTTAGGGTCGCACGGTCTTAGTGTAGTATGGTCTTAGGGTCCATGGTCTTAGGGTCTTAGGTCGGGTCTCAGGGTCGCATGGCCGCAGGGTCATAGGTCGGCCCCCAGAGCCCCCCCTGAGGCACCCAAAACGCCCGAGAGCCCCCCTGTGCCGCCAAGGGACTGGGGAACTGATCCCTCCGTAGCGGGCGGCACGCCCATGTCGCCCGTTCATCTTCTTCCTCCTCTTCCTCCTCCTCTTGATCTTCCCCCTCCTCCTCATCATCATCATCATCATCGCCCGTGCCCTTCCTCCACCATCCATCCACCCATCCCCCTCATTCGCCTCCTCCTCCTCATTCGAACAGTTCGGCTGTCCCCATATTTGCTCCCACACTTCCCTCATGGCATCAACGCGCATGGGCGTCGTTTCTGGACGGGCGAGTGGGGGCGCGCGAAGCGCCAAGAATATCCAGCGCGGCTGGGGGAATCCATAGTGCGGGCGCAGCTGGGGCCCAACGCGCGGCCGCGGAGGCGCTCCCCTAAAAGGCAGGGGGGCGGCGGCGATTCGCCGCAGGCGTCTTCGAAGGGAGCGATGGCTTGCTTCTGCACAGTCCAACGGGGAGGTACCATCCGAACAGTCCTGGCTGACAAACGCAGTTTGGCTGAGTGCGCGCCTGTGTCGCACCGCGACGTGGCGCTCAAGAGACGGCACCGAGCCTCTCTCTTGTTGGCACGAGCACCTCTGAGACCTGACCAGCCCTAGCGAACATGATGGACCCACGAACCCGGAAAGGGATATAGACATGTGGAGCATGGACACGTTTTCATGATACCCAACTGGGCAACACCTCACGAAACATCCCACGAGACACCTCACGAAACAGCCCACGAGACACCTCACGAAACATTCCACGAGACACCTCACGAAACATTTCACGAGACACCCCGCGAAACATTCCACGAGACACCCCACGAAACATTCCACGACGACAGGCAACCACTCAACCAAGGCGGTGTGGTCGTGCTGGGGAGTGGTCGTGCTGGGGTGTGGTCGTGCTGGGGGGTGGTCGTGCGTGGTCGTGCTGGGGGGGTGGTCGTGCGTGCTGGGGCGTGGTCGTGCTGGGGCGTGGTCGTGCTGGGGCGTGGTCGTGCTGGGGTGTGGTCGTGCTGTGGTAAGGTCGTGCTGGGGTGCGGTCGTGCTGGGGTGTGGTCTTGCTGGGGTGGGGTCGTGCTGGGGTGTGATCGTGCTGGGGTGGGGTCGTGCTGGGGTGTGGTCGTGCTGGGGTGTGGTCGTGCTGGGGTGGGGTCGTGCTGGGGAGTGGTCGTGCTGGGGTGTGGTCGTGCTGGGGTGTGGTCATGCTGGGGCGTGGTCGTGCTGGGGTGGGGTCGTGCTGGGGTGGGGTCGTGCTGGGGTGGGTTCGTGCTGGGGTGCTCCGCACCCTGTGATTTATCGATCGGGTCGTGCTGGGGTGTGGTCGTGCTGGGGTGTGGTCGTGCTGGGGTGTGGTCGTGCTGGGGTGTGGTCGTGCTGGGGTGTGGTCGTGCTGGGGTGTGGGTGGGGTGGGGTCGTGCTGGGGGGTGGTCGTGCGTGGTCGTGCTGGGGGTGGTCGTGCTGGGGTGTGGTCGTGCTGGTCGTGCTGGGGCGTGGTCGTGCTGGGGCGTGGTCGTGCTGGGGCGTGGTCGTGCTGGGGTGGTCGTGCTGGGGTGTCGTGCTGGGGTGTGGTCTTGCTGGGGTGGGGTCGTGCTGGGGTGTGATCGTGGGGTGGTCGTGCTGGGGTGTGGTCGTGCTGGGGGGTGTCGTGCGGGGGGTGGGGGCGTGGTCGTGCTGGGGCGTGGTCGTGCTGGGGGGTGGTCGTGCTGGGGGGGTGGTCGTGCTGGGGGGTGGTCGTGCTGGGGCGTGGTCGTGCTGGGGCGTGGTCGTGCTGGCGTGGTCGTGCTGGGGTGTGGTCGTGCTGTGGTGAGGTCGTGCTGGGGTGTGGTCGTGCTGGGGTGTGGTCTTGCTGGGGTAGGGTCGTGCTGGGGTCGGGTCGTGCTGGGGTGTGGTCGTGCTGGGGTATGGTCGTGCTGGGGTGGGGTCGTGCTGGGGTGGGGTCGTGCTGGGGTCTGGTCGTGCTGGGGTGTGGTCGTGCTGGGGTATGGTCGTGCTAGGGTGGGGTCGTGCATTTCGCTCGAGACATCCTGCCAAAATTCCAGGAAATCGTACAAAAACAAAGGAATTAGTCGAGACATCATCGAAATTCCTTCGCGCGGGGCGCTTTTCCGCGTCGCGGTCGGCTCTGCAAAACAAGCGTTTCGCTCGAGACATCCTCGGCAAACTCTGCGGAGCAAGCGTTTCGCTCGAGACATCCTCAACACACGAAAAAGTGGCCCGCACCCTGTGATTTATCGATCGGGATTTCAAAAACAAGCGTTTCGCTCGAGACATCCTCAAATTTTAATTCGCCGGCCTCCTTCGACCTCGTTATTTATCAGGGAAAAAATTCGCCGGCCTCCTTCAAGTTGGCACCGGGGGACAGGTTTACCCACTAAAAGAGAACCCTGGGCTCATGCCCTTTCCGGGAAAAAAGAAATGCACGGATCCAAAACGCAGGCCGAATCAAGAAGTTCGGGGGATTCCCGAACGACGCAATTGACTTGCCGAGAGCTGGAGTGCAACACAGTCCACCTAGAAATGCAACACAATAGCCTGTCTTGCACCTTTGCGTGAAAATAAAGCTGTCCGTAGCCAACTCCACCGCCCTGGACGCGATAGCAGACCGTGTCTCCGCGCTGGACTATCCTGGACCGAATATACGCCGCTTTCGACGTCAGAATGCTGGCACTGACAGGCAGAGACAACTCCGAACGCAACGCACGCTCCATCTTCTTGCTCGCCGTTCTCGGCTCAAGAAGATCAGAATGAACCAACGGATTGCGCAAATCGTAAAGGTGTTGAGCTGCCGCCTCCTCAAGGAGGGACTTGTTGAAAGACTTCGTGTTATGATGGCTATCAGAGAAGCGCTTGAGGACTCTGTGCTTCCTCTCGCAGAGGAAGCATCCCAACAGGAGCCCATGCTGCAAAAACTGGCGAGGCAGATGTATCGACCAATGGTG